CCCCCACCCACCCTCCCTGCCAGTCCCTTCCAACCAACCGTCCTGTCACTCCCTTCCCAAGCATCCAACCAAACAACAGACCAACCAACCAACTGTCCTGCCAGTCCCTTCCAACCAACCAACCGATCCACCAACTGTCCTGCCAGTCCCAACCAACCAACCAGCCAGTCCCTTCCAACCAACCAACCAACCAACCGTCCTGTCAGTCCCTTCCCAAGCATCCAACCAAACAACAAAACAACCAACCAACCATCATGCCAGTCCCTTGCCAGCCAACCAACCAACCAACTGCCCTGCCAGTCCCTTCCAACCAATCACCCGTCCTGCCAGTCCCTTCCAACCAATCACCCGTCCTGCCAGTCCCTTCCAACCAATCACCCGTCCTGCCAGTCCCTTCCAACCAATCACCCGTCCTGCCAGTCCCTTCCAACCAATCACCCGTCCTGCCAGTCCCTTCCAACCAATCACCCGTCCTGCCAGTCCCTTCCAACCAATCACCCGTCCTGCCAGTCCCTTCCAACCAATCACCCGTCCTGCCAGTCCCTTCCAACCAACCGTCCTGTCAGTCCCTTCCCAAGCATCCAACCAAACAACAAACCAACCAACCAACTGTCCTGCCAGTCCCTTCCAACCAACCAACCAACCGTCCTGCCAGTCCCTTCCAGCCAACCAACTGCCTGTCCTGCCAGTCCCTTCCAACCAACCAACCAACCAACCGTCCTGCCAGTCCCTTCCAATCAACCAACCAATCATCCTGCCAGCCAACCAACCAACCAACTGCCCTGCTAGTTCCTTCCAATCAAGACCAACCAACCAACTGTCCTGCCAGTCCCTTCCAACCAACCGTCCTGTCACTCCCTTCCCAAGCATCCAACCAAACAACAGACCAACCAACCAACTGTCCTGCCAGTCCCTTCCAACCAACCAACCAATCATCCTGCCAGTCCCTTCTAACCAATCAACCGACCGTCCTGCCAGTCCCTTCCAACCAACCGACCGACCGTCCTGCCAGTCCCTTCCCATCCATCCAACCAACCGTCCTGCCAGACCCTTCCCAGCCAACCAACCAACTAACCGTCCTGCTAGTCCTATTCAGCCATCCAATAACCATCCACCCAGCCACCCATCCTGCTAACCCCTATCCAGCCATCCAACTTATCAACAAACAAAACAATCACCTGTCCTGCCAGTCCCTACCCAGCCATCCAACTAAGAGAGACAGAATCATTTGTCCACTCATCTGTCCACACAAGCAGCCCATCATCTACCCAGCAAACCCGCCCCTTCCATACCAGGTGAATGGGCACCCTTTGCATCAGAGATCCCACAACAGACTTGATGGGGACAGGCCACATGGAGATGGCTGGTCTGCTGAGCCCTAGGGCCGGAGCCCTCAGTGAGGACAGGCAGCAGTCTGGGGGCTCAGAAAGCTCCCTTCTGCCAGGAGATGGCTCTTTCCTTTCAAGTTTGCGAGTGGAAATCAGCCTGCCCCACACGGCAGCACCGGGGGCCAAAGCGTCAGCCCTGGAGGAAAGCCCCGCCCAGCCCAGCCGGGCAAGGTTCCCTGTCCCAGCAAGTTCCCTTTCTGGGGGGGCAGGTGTCAGACTCCCCAGTGGGGCTCAGCACAGCGCCGTCGCCAGGATCCCACTGCCACTGGCCAAGCCAAAGCAGGGTGCTAAGCAGGACACCCATCGGTCCTGCAGGTGGCAGTGTGATGGCACGTCGGGGTCCCCCACCTCCTGCACCCCCGTAGTGGCACGGACAGACTCCGCCAGCCAGTAGAACAGAGGGAGTTTATTGCTTCTCCAGGATACAGCACAGCACAGATGTAACCTGGTTCCAGGGCAGGCCTAGGATGCCTCGGCCCCCCTTGAGATGGGGGAGACTGGGACCCTAAATTCCAGCCCCTTGCTTAGGCTGCTTCCTCCATGATACCAGACAGAAACCAAACTCCCTCACTTCCAGGCCTGCCCCCAGCCAGGGCTCCACTCCCCTTCTTCCCATTGTTCCACTCCCTGGGAGATCACTGGTCAGACAGGTTCGGAGCCCCCTTGCATAATGACTCATCACCTGCCCTGCTGGGCCGTGCTGCAGGCAGCAGACAGTGGAGGTCACCCACAGCCCACTGCCCAGCATAGCAACCAGCAAGGTACCTCCACTAAGTCACAGGCAGACCGATCTTCCAGCCCTGAGAGCATCCTCCCACTGCCCCGCCGCCTGCCCCATGGGTGCTGCATTTCCGGCTGTCTCGCTAGCAGCGAGGTGCTGCAGGAGACCCAGCACCCGGCAGAGGGTTGCACTGAGCCCTGGGGTCCCCAGCGCCCCGTCCCTGCTGCTGGGCTCTCCCAGGGGCGGGGACACACTGGAGGGGAGCGCGAGGGTGGCGGAGCAGTGCATCTGCAGGGATTGAGCCTTGCTCCTGCAGGGATTGAGCCTTGCTCCTGCCAGGGGCAGGGGACCCCAGCCTGTCCTGTAAGCAGCAGAGGGACCCCTGGGGGCAGAGGAGGAAGCCCCGAGAACAGGCCAAGCCTGGCAGTTTGCCAGGCCGGTGCGGAGCCAGGACAGGCTCGGGGGGAGAGGTGGCCAGGAGAGCTTTGCAGCTGGCAGGTGCGTTTGCACGGCAGGGCTGGGTAAGCCCAGGGAGCTGAGAGCATGTCCCAGCTGCCTGCTGCCCAAGGCCAGAGCCTGCCTGCCCAGGGAAGGCCTACCTAGCAGCCGGCTGCGTGGGGCAAGCGTGACGCACAGTGGCTGCCTGCAAGCACTGCCGCTCTGCGTGCCCAACTGCCGGGCGCCCCCAGCAGCAGCCGCAGCCCTAGGACTCAGGGTTCCACTCCGGGGGCTGCTGCTCTGGTCGCCCGGGCTGGGACAGTGCAGCTCACACTCACACAGCCCCAGTGTAGGGCAGGGAGCCTGCCAGGGCTGCAGGGGCTTGGACAGGAGACCGGGGCATGGCTCAGCGCGGAGCTACACAGGCGTCCTGGTCAGCACTCGGCCGAGAGCCCAAGGCAGCCTGCTCCAGAACCCAGCCCACTGTGCTGTGGGCAAGCGCCCTAGGCAGCTGTTAGGAGACACGGGCACAGGGAGAGCACCGACGGTCCCAGCACTCCTGGAGACGGGCCCAGCCCCTGCACGCGCCGGCACAGAATGAAGGACATTGC